TTTGCCACTACAAAAAAGTGACAAGTTGAATAAAGTTAAGTTTTACAGAATAAATAATAATAATTGCATAATATGCTAATGTATATTCTAACTCAACGCGTAATTGTATAGTAATAACTATACTGTGGATATATAAATACACAATTATAATAATTATAAACGCCAATCATGAAACGATTTATGTACCTATTTATATGCATTAATGATGGTAGGTATATAGTTCCAAAGCCGAGCTATAGACGAGAATTAATTATACATTGATTTTAAAAAGAGGCGTGTGATAATTTTTTAAAAAACACTTATTTGGCCAGTAAAAAGCTCAGGTGTTTTACAATGCCTAAAAAGATTTGAAGTATATAGATTACTTTAACTCGTAAAATTAATTAAGATACAATTTAAATTAAACACTAATTTTCGAAAAAAATTTAAGAAAAGGTGATGTTGAATCGTAAAATACCCACGAACATTTTTAGTAAAATCCATACCATATTTTGCAGGTAAAGGCAAGCTCCGTTTGATGCTTTAATAATTGACTTAACGAACACGTTAATTGTGACGCATCAAAATAAAAAAAAAAAAAAAAAAAAAAAAAACAAACCACTAAACGAGCATTTATGGCTATAATGCTAGAATTAGTATTTGGCAGTTTTTTCTTCTATAAAACATAACCTATAATTTATTTTTATTAAATAAATACAATCAAAATGATTATACTAAATAAGGAATTAATAGTTTCATAAAATGATAACATTTGAGAAATAAAATACTTTTTAAATTATTACATTATTCAAACTATATTAGTAGACAAATCAACTAAAGAAATCTACATATATATTATTATAAAATATATAATTCATATACTTTGTATTACAAACATTTTGTAATGAATGACTGACAACAATGTTTGTACACCTATATTCTGATTAGTGTAATTCCAGGTAATGCCCTATATAACCATGATATTACGCGATAAATGATAATTATTATTCGTTATAAAAACTAGTTATAATAATACGAAATGTGTTACAATAATAGTTGTTACATAACAATATAACATGGAATATCTTGTGAATTTACTATAATGAATAATGATACTAATGACTGGAAAAAAATTGATTAAATATTTAACAAATAATTTAAAAATAATGTGTTTTTTGAATAAATATTACCTATATACGTGAACGTTTTAATTACGTAACTTTTACATCAAGAAAAAATCGAATTTCTAACTTTTGATTTTTGAATATTTTTCTTATACCAACATTTTTATCTACATGTTGTTAATGGTATTATAACGTCGAATAATCATTTAACAATTTACACAATTATAATATAACTAAAATAATATATCTAATAAAAATGTAAATTTAAAAAATCTTTACAGGATATTATAGTAATATAAGTATAAGAGTTCACTACAATGTGATGCTAAATATTATATACTATAAAACCTAAGTACACTTAGATAAAAACACTTGTTTTAAAATATTGATTTCATTAAAGTCCTTCGAATACAGTTAAAATGTTCGCGATTTTTCCTCAATCTTGAAGGTAATATAAATTATACTAATAAATCTTTTATTACGATTTTCAAATACAGATTATTGAATATTTTTCTCAATAAGATATGACCCGTTTCTTTTACTTTAGTTAGTTTAGTATGTTTGTGAAGGACAAATCGAACAAAATGACAGAAGAAAATATAATTTGACAAATGAATGGGACAAAATTAATAGCGCTAGGCCAAATGACTAATGAACCAAACCAAAATCCACTTGTTATGAATAGTAAATGCATAACCAGAATAATCATTTTTATTTCATTTATTTTTTGTAAAAATTAGTGAAAACGCCAGTTTGAAGCGGAAATAATGACCAAAGGTCGATCAAGTGTTCTACGACAATCGCATATTTTTCCATAACTCTAAGTCTCCAAACACAATTAAGTACTTATAATGATAAAATCGTGATGATTGTTCAGGAAGAGCTCCAACAAAAGTTCTGTAGTACTTCTAAGAGTCCGCATAATATTATATTATTAATATAATATGCTTTATCAGAATTTATACGACAATACAAATAAGTAAGATATAAACGCGACATTTTGTGCAATCGACAATCGAGAAGGTCGGTGGCAGATATGCATATTGTATAATATGTTTATGTGATTCAACGATTGCGCATTTTAGGCAAGGTCGACTAATGGTTTTGGCGCAGTAGAGGAATGCAATATAAGTAATATTATAGGTATGTTACATTAATATACACATGTTGTTTAAACGCTGAATAGGAAGTACAAAGATTGGTCTAATATCCGGACTGTCAAGGTGATCGAACTGAAATTTCCTTGACTTTTAGTAACGATAATTGTGGTTAATTCCGGATGAATGATCATATCATTATATATACAATTATAAACATACATATTTACACACACACACACACATAATACCCGAAGATATATTGCTTGGCTAATGATATATTCACGCGTTCCTTCTACCACAACCGAAAAAATTTGTAGTAATGATAAAATGTCTAAATTGAACTGTGTTAAATCTACGTATAGACATTATAAAAACCCTACATTCGAGATAGATTATTATTATAAAAATTAATAATACAGAAAGGATAGAAAATCCATGTATAATAAAACAATAAATACTCATAAGTCATAGCGAAGCTTTCCAATGTTTGGGTGTATGCACCCCGTCGATATCACTGTTACTTGTTATAATCTTTAAAGTTATAATTCCGACTTATCACTATCTATCAAAAATATATATCAATTAATATTACAACATATTATATCTATAGTTGATAAAATAAAAATCAGTTATAAATCGTATTACTTATAAATTGGAATATTATGTAATTAGGACAGTGAAGTTATTGCATTTACATTTACTCATTTTTTAGATTTTATATTCATTGCTTAAACGTGTTTCGTTAAAAAAACTGTTAATTTAAATACTTTTTTTTAAATTTCAATAAAATTAATAGGTAATTGTTAAATATATTTACATATATATCATTACAAAAATTAAGTAAACGTAGCCGTATACAAATATATATATATATATATGTATTTATCAAAATATTCTTAAAGCACGCCGATTTGCATTTAAGTTAATAAAAACTTGTCCTTCAATAAACAGCAATCGACGTTACCATCAATCAGAAATAAAAGAAGTTATGCAAATACAGTACCAACTAGCAAAATCTAATTTGCGACTTTTAGTAGATCGTTATAATTACTTTTTCAGATCTTTTTTTGTACATTGAAATACCGAAAATCGATCAATTTAAATCAGTCAATGTAAAAAATTCTTGATCTTAATTTAACGATGGTGTTTTCCGTCGATAAGCAACGTCAAACAAACATACTTATATAAAATTTCCTTCCCGTATTTTTCTGTTTAAAAAATAGGAGACTCCAATTAACCTTTTGATTTCTGAGCCAATAATAACTAGATGGAGAATATGAATTCAGCGTTTTATACTAATACTAACATTTTTCAAAAGTAAGAAAAGTAACACAATAATTAAACTTAATTGATACTGTCTCTATTTAGTAAAGCTCAATGTATAATAATATCACATAAATAATTCAATGAAAACCAATTTAGTATACATTCATTTTAATTATGGTTTCATACCACTAGAAACTTCAAAGCTTCAAACTCAATATGTTCATTAAGGTAATTGATGCACTATTTGAATTTAAATATTAAAAGGGTAAGTATAGTAAAGTAGGTATAATAATATAATTTTTAATTAGATACAAGAAATGTATATTTCATACAATAATGCTGCATTGCTGTAGTTCATCTATAGTTTAAATTTGAAATTGGTTTAAATAATAAACAGAATTTTTGTGTTTTTATGTAAATAGAATTTTTTTGAGAAATTATAACATTTAAAGTTTAAAATTTCCGTTCGGAAATAATTCTAGGTTTAATGGTTGATATAGTTGCAATTTCGTCAATAAAAGATACTGTATACGAATATAATAATTATCTATTTTCAGCTGAATTATGTAAAATAAAATATCTTATCGGTATACTATTATGCATTAAAACGTTTTACATATTATTATAACACCTCATTTAATTATGTTTATTTATACACCCGAACGGTAGAATAGCAATAATTATTGGCTATACATTTCTATTTATATATTATGTAAATTAATTAATAATGTATTTTTTACAATTACATATTACGAAAATATTTTAAAACCAATTTGTTGAAATAAGACATTACCTATATAAATTTAAAATTTAAAAAAAAAACTATAACTAGGTATGCAAAATCAACATTATATTATTCACCGCTGTATACCTATATAATTAATATGATTTTTTTTTAGTAAACGCCTAAGGAAATTTTTAGTAAACGCAACAAGGCTGAAAGATCGTGTTTCATGGTCAAGATCCATGAATTGCAACTGATGTGTAAAGACTATACACTTAAGTATGTACATATTGTACATAGTTGCTAACGTATTTGTCTAGTCATGAGTGACTGTTATTATTATAATATATACATACACTTGATCAAATATATAAGCCAGCACGATTATTGAAGTTCGTGTACCCCAAAATCTGATAATTAGATTAGATTCTTACTCCTACGTGCGTAATACTGTCTTATATTTGTTTAAATGTATTCGTGATTAAGTTAAATAAGCCTGGCCTTTTTAACACCTCAATGTAAAGAAGATAAATTAATTTATCTTAAGTTGTTATTAGCAGCTACATGAACAACGATGACCTCTTATTTTACTATGAGGTTGTCAATATGAATCACCACACTGGCTCGTTTGATTTTTAATTAATTTTTAATATTGTAATTTATTTATTAAATCACTACATAATTATGGCGGATAGAATAACTATCGATTTTTAAAAACGATAAATAATAATAACTAATACTTTAGAATCTTATAACGATTTATAACTCAATTGATTAATCATAACATTGTCAAAACTTAAAACTTACATAATATGACGTTTCCGACGAACAGACTCAAGGTGACAGTTGTGAAGGTGGTGAACCTCTGAAAAAAAAAATTCATTACCATCTACTTGGTAGGCGTGTAACTTGTGTAAGAGTAGGTATTTATTTGACAAGGTTTAAACTTTCATTCCGGAAGAAATAAGACGTGACTGTAGAAGCATATATTACATTAAACACAGAGCGTCTCACTACACGTGTTTGCTGTGTTCCCCCGTAAATAAATGTAATTCATCTTTAATAAACATAGTTTTTGAATATTATTATTACATTATTGTTGTTATTTAGAAAATCGAAATAACAATTTGTATAGATTATGATATTAAAAAAAAAAAAAATTTACAACTTAATATAATTAAATAATTTACGTTTAGCTTGCATAGAAATATTGTGCATTTTCAAATTGCAAACAATAAATAGAACTATGATAATTATTTGAGTATAAAAGTTTATGATTTAATTATAAAACTTAAGAAAATTGTTTTATTATAGTAACAATATTACTGTTTTATAACTTTTATAAATAATTAAAGTGAACATACAGGTATAAATTACTTACTTCTTTACGAACTCCGGGGAAGATTATAAGAAATGCTGTGAAAATCGTTCCGAAAACCAGACAGGTCGTAATCATTTGTACATCACCTGTGACCGGCGTACGGTTGCTATAACCGTAAAACATTGGTCCTCCGTCACTCCTGAGCCACTTCATACTGTAAAACAAAACCAAATTCAAAATTAAAATCAAAATTATTACAAATTTATAATTAATATAGATCCCGTTAATTAGTTTATTTTGTCAAATTCATTTGTTCATAAAATTAAGACTACACAGGTGATAACAGATTGATACTTATGTAGAATAAAAATTCAACGAAGGAAGAACTTCACCAAATTTTTTGTACGCCAATATTATGTCATACCTACTTAATAAAACGATAATATTTTAATATACTTAAAATATTTTATTGTTATACAATTATTAAAAAAAAAATAAAAAATCTTTTTATTAGTAGGTATAATAGGTATAAACGTATTCCATTTAATTGTTTAAACCTGAATGCCTATATGGCTATATGTAGCCTATATACGTTACACATGAAGAATAAACAATATTTGAGGATATGTATAGTAACACGCGCATAACGATGGTATTAAGTATTGACTACTATGCCTGAAATTATCGTTGCAAATATAACGATACGTAGAATCTACGTCTAAGGTCTAACTATATTTCTTCTAGCACTTATCTGATTTAACCTAAGCAGGAACATCATCCTTTTAATACTTTATTATTTATCACTAATACACTTTATTTATACATAATAAGTAATAACTCAACGACAGCTCTATTATATTATTATATTCATAGATCCGCGATAAAGGTATACAATAAAAAAACACTACAATATTTTTTACTGTCATTGAAATCGTAGTTTCTAGTAAATAAATAAGTTAGCTAAGCATAGATAATAAATATACAACTCTTCGATATCTCAGTAATCAATGTCGATTATTTTCAACCACAGCGACATTGTACTGTTGTGTCTTGTGTTTCAGATAAGTAGGCATTATGGTCACGGCTGAAATTAACGTAGCGCGTAACGTTCATCGAAGAATTCGGTAGGTATTAATACAATTTAGTTGAAAATTCACCATTATATAGTTGTGGCATGTTAATTTTGATCAGCAGATCCGCAAAACCAGTCCTGGGTGTGACCAAGGTCAGGGCAAAGTAGCTTTTATGCTCGTGTTTGTAGCTGGCTGCTGTATTAAAGTTGATCTTTGACATGCAACTTATTTTTGCTCCAATTCTTTTGTTAGCGACAATGTGGCGACAAATCATTTTAATATTATTGATATTTAATATTATGTTATTACTTATTAGTTATTATGAATATTTTTTTTTTCCACTGGAAATATCACAAGACTGTATTATAGAAAGCTAAATATTTGTATAGGCCGCATGCAACCGTCAGAATTACATACACATTTCGTCCAAACTATATGCAATGTAGTATAATAATATTATGTACAGTGTTTACCGTTTAAGTAACTCTTGAACGCTAAGAAAACAAAATCGTGATTTCTATTGAACTAATCTATTTAAAAACTTATACTATACATATAGGTTATTTAAATACTAGTATGCCACTAGACCAATTATCTTGCGATGATTACATGCAAATACTTATAACCTATCAGTTAAGTATTTTCAAGATAATATTTGCAAGACGCTTTAAATTTAAATTTTTCACCAAAAATTGTTTTGAATTCTTCAATGATTGTTTAAATAGTAGTAAAAATAAAAATTAACTTGATTATTTTAAATAGAATATCAAATTAAATATAATATATAGACACTCACACGATTGCTCGATTTTTTTGTGTTGCATAATGTTGCATGTGCCCTATTAATAAGTAGATTTATTTAACTTCATTAGAACCCATACTTTAGATATTCTATTAAATATAGCGAAACTCTCATATTTTTCAGTCTCATAGACAACAACAACAAATTCGTCTTAAAAAAAATTTATTTTAAAAAAGTGGTTCTAATTAGATTTGATTCTCAAAAATATTTAGTGCCTATAAATAGCTCGAAATGAATTTTAAAAAATTGGAAAGTTTGATCGTATAATAAAAATTATTAAATAATAAACATTTTGGGGAAATTTTAAGTATCTGTAATTATTTATTTCTAAATTATAACAAAATAAAGAAATTAAATTAGTCAAAATCTGGTAAAAACTCCTGTTTTTTTTAAATTTTTTGTTTGTTTTTCCTTAATTGTTCATTGGTTTTTCTTTATTATGAAAAAAAATACTGGAATTTTTAATTTTATTCTACCTAAAGTGCAAATTAAATTAAATTTTCTAACCAAAACCTACTTCAAAGTTTAAAGTCTAAGCATTTTATCGAAAACTTATCGTGTAATAATACACAAAAAAAAAACAACACATAATTCTAAAATCAATTGCTTCGCTTAGGATCTAAAATGTTTAAATATTATGTTTACACAGAATCCAGGTTAATAATATTATATTTTCTTTTAAATTTTCAGATGCAACTTGGATTGTTTAAATCAAACTTGTAAATTAAATAATAATAATATAATATACTGTTTAGATAAACCCTATACCTAATATCTTAAGTCGGGTAAAACTACACCATCACATTTGACAATAATATAATATATACACAATTAAAAAAACATTTAATAGCGAAATAACACAATAAACGAGTATAAATTAAATTTGTTACATGAGAATATATTATGATAGTGAGTGGCGATGATACAGTGATAATAAAATTAGTAAATTATTATTTCAAAAGAAAGATTTGATCAAATACCTACGTTAAATATTTATAGTAATCGTATCGATATTAAACCTAAAAGCTATTAAACTAATAAAGTTTAATAATATATAAAACTTTAAAATACTTAAACGTAAACTATTAATAACTATTTAAATTTCAACGTTGTGAAAAAAATATGAATTAATAACAAAGATTTATACACCATATGTGTTCAATCCTTTCACTGTGATAATTTGTTTTAGTGTTCCAAAATTGGAAATGTTTATTTTTCACACATTTATTGATAAATCAAATAACGTATCTAACAATATTTACTTTTTTAACTTGCTGAAGTACCAATATCTCTTATGTTGACACGTATTTGCACGATTAAATTTAATCATAAATTATAACATTGACAATATCAATAGATGTATTGACAATTAAAAAATATATAAAAATATATTCAGTTATGATAACTACAAATACGCGTTATTAACTTATGTTTGATTATGAGTAAAAAAGTAAAGTTATGTAGGTATTAGATTTTTATATTTACTAAAATTCATTTTAAAATAAAACAATTCACAACTTTTATCTTGTACATATATTATATTTATATTATACTTGAACATTTCGAACATTCACTTCATTCAGACTTCCGGACAGAATGTTCCAAACATCAAGGCGAATGTCGTATGAATGACTCAATGACCTGTCGTTTAGTACATGCACTACTGAACCATTGAAAAAAATAACAACACGATAAGGTAAATAATTTATAAATAAATAATTTATCCTGTAAATTCCTGACTCAAGAAAAATATTATAAACTTCCGCAATCAGTTAAAAGAAGATTCACGTTTGTAACTAAAGAAATAATATTAAATTGACGTATTATGATTTATCAAACATTATTTTTCTTTCCAAAACATTAAATAATACAAGCTAACAAAAATATTAAAATATATATATATATATTAAATAATAAGTATCATAACAATATGTACAGTCATAATTAAAAGTTTCAAATATATCAAAATAAAAAATAAACCTTTAAAATAGTATGATAAATAAAACTCTCAATATATTATTACATAATATTTGATAATAATAATAAATTTTAAAATGATGAAAGATGCATCATTTTGTTTGCATAATATATTATAAGACGATATAAACACTGTATAGATTCACTCTTGTAAGAATTTGAAAATATAAACAACGCTATATCGTTTAACTATGGGTAATAGTCTTTAATCTTTCATCTTTAATCTTAATATAAGTTTAATTAACAGTCATACAAAAAATTAATGAAAAAAAAATCACTTTGGTAATACTTTCCTGATGAAAGGTAATATTATTTTTATTATATAATAATAGTGTTCAAACACTTCAAAGAATAATTCAATTGTTAAAACATAACGCGATTATCGAATTTATTATAAATGTATTATAATTTATAATAACCGGGATAAATTCGTAGTATACTGAAATCAGTTTATCGTAGCTATATAAATAAGTCTTAGCCCACAGGTAATTTTTTTTTATAGGTTTTAATATATTGTAAAATATTGAACCATGATTTAATTATTTTTATATCCAATATTAATGGTATAAAACCCAGATCCGGGATTCTGCACGATACGTTCGAGTTATATGTTTAGATATCTGACGTAGTTTTTCATAATAAATAAAACGATATTGTCGATTTTGAATGCTGAGCAAAACGACGATACATTACGACATACTTTTATTTTTTTAATGGTTGAAAATTGTAAAAATAATTAAACAAAAACGAATTAATACTATATTCTGAATTCTCACAATCGTAAAACAAAACAAATAATGATAATCACATAATATTTAAATTTATATTGTCCAGTTAATGTTAGTTATCTGCAAGTTTTATTTTTCAAGTGAATTTCCTACAACATTTTGTAATAATAAGTTAAAAAATTACAATTTGTTTCTTCAAAAGTGAATATGTCATGTTATCAAAATTAAAATTGAAAAACGCCCTAGTAACTCTTAAGATAATATCTTAACACCTTCTTCTATTTGAATTTTGGTATCATTAGTATTTTTCAAGATAGTAGATATACCTAATTATTGCAGTGGTATTAAAATTGCGTCAAGTCATCATAACAACGTAGCAAATTTTGATATTATCGCACCTTCTTATGTAAGCATTTAACTAGTTATTGTTTAGTATAAAATACAAATTACGATATATTTTAATTTTTAATGACATAAAAATATGTATTATATTGTATGATAGAATTTAGATGGTTATTTAAAAAAAATGTTACGTGCTTAAATACTATACATAGTTATCTATTTTTTTTTTTTTTTTTTTTTATTGCAATTTATAGATAATTAATTTAATTTAAAATATATTTATAAGGTTTTAAATATATTTTAACCTATAGTTAATTTTAATAATACCGTAACATCACAATTCTTAAATTTAAAATAACATATCATAGACATTTTTGAAGAATATTACAAAATCTAAAATATTTTATAGAAGATGAATTACATATTATATTGTGTTAATTATATTTTCGATTTATAAACAATTTAATTTATACATTAAAAATATAAACATTTGTATATAAATCATTCCAAAATTTCTGTAATTCCTTGTTCGTAAATGAAAACCTTGTCAAAACATGTATTATATGGTTATACTATTTATTAGTTATACGTATATTATATTATTTAAATATTATTTTTAAATATGTTATTATATATTGTAATTGCAGCTTCTTCGTTTTTTCAAGTATGCATTCATGCATCTAAATGATTAAATGAAATAACATTATTAACATTTTATCGATAAATATTGTATATTGAGTAATAGTAACTTATTATAAAAGGATATTTAACTTTTGAAATAGTTAGCAAAAATGAGTTTACCTAATTCACGCTAAAATGATTATAATTAAAGTTAAATTCTACCCTATCACATAATAATAATAATATCATTTATACTTTAATATTCTATAGAAACATGCTACAGCCAATATGTAACATTTCATGAGCATATTCATTAAGTAGTTCAGTTATTAAAATTTAAAAACAAGTTAATTTTTCATCAAAACTGAGAATTTTATTTTTGAATTACAACGCACGTGTTTATCAAAGACATTTTTATTCATTCAATGGCATATATTATGATATACGAAGTTATTTGTCAAGTATGCTCACCTCTTTTTCTCTTCAATAATGCAGTTATTCAATATCTGATGTTTGAAATTTTTATATATACTTAAATTCTATTCCATATTTATGTATTAGTTAAGAATATTTTATTTTTCAAAAAGAACCCCCCTTTTCTACTGTAAATTATTCAGCAGATTTGGAATTATATTTCTAAAAACGTTAATGTATCAAAATTAAAATTCTCAGTAGTTTGTAATTTATTTAACTGTTTTCGAAGGATGATAGGTCCATAATATGACAATGTATTTGGAAGATAATTTGGGAAATATGATTATTAAAAAGTTTTAATAATCATGCAATATTTATCTATCAACATTTTTAATTTGTATAAACGGTCAAATTATAATAAATATTAGATCCGATGTTACATTAGTTTTATATTTTCGTCAAACCATTTTTAAGGACTGTTATTCTTAGTAAAATCATTTTAATAACTGAAAAACTATTTGTTCACATTTAAATTAAATGCTTATATTGAAATTTTCAAAAAAAAAAAAAATATCCACTAAGCAATTTACAGTAAAAAATAGGTGGAGGGATTTTCATTTGTAAAATAAAAGTTAGGCTTTACTCATTAAATAGTAAAAAAAATATAAAGAATTTGAAAATATGATCTTTAAGTATAGTAAAAAATTTCCAAAAAACAGAATTATGATAAGTTCATTATTTAAGTTAAATCACTGTATACCAACACTCGAGCATAATATTATTATAATTATGTATATACATCTATATTAGATATATGTGTGAACAAGAGAACTCGTCTGCACATAGCATTGTACAATATAATACGTTTAAATGACGAACCTGTTACTGTCGGCGGGTGGAAATGTTTCGTCCGAAAATGTGAGACAATTTTATATTATAATACTATAATATAATGATGTTTGTGCGATGCGGTGGGCGCGTTCCGGAGATCAGTAGGTACGGTTTAATATTAATATTACGTATTATGAATGGTTGCCGCACATTGGTAAAACAAAAGAAAGCAAAAACGGTAAGACGCGGGGGGGTCGAAATCGAATTCGAAAACACGCGCAATATTACACGCACATAATATATCACACAAGTTACTATAAAAATATGATAAACGCTACCGCGTGCGGCGGTTCACAGCGAACGCGTCCTGCTGGACATGGTGTGCCGGTGGGAAAAATAAAACGAATTTTTTTTCCAAAAAAAAAAAAAAATTTAACCGTCTCGCGGACGCAATGCAATGACGACAGTATTGGCGAGTCGCCGGACCGGGAGCGCGTGCTAACGGACCGATAACCAGACGGATACTGATGTCGGAGATGCGGCGTCGTCGACTGCCGGACGCGGTTTGTCGGTCGCGTGCGCCACCGTATTGTTATATATTATTCACTTTGTTATCACAACAATATAACGACGACAAATTATGCGCGGTGACGACAATGATAATAACAATAACTCCGGTGCGTGGAGTCGGTGAGCTGCAGCGTGGAGACTATTATTAATATATACTTAACGAAACGACGTCGTCGTCGGCGGCGGTAACGGACGAGACCGCGGCGAAACAATGTGCGCGCGCGACGGCGGATATTATTCAGGAACGATATTATAATATATTATTTTACGATTTTACTTAGGTTTTTTTTTTTTCTAGAGTGGGATGAGACAAGGTCTCCGCCGTTGGCCTCTAATAATGATAATAAGTAATAACATAAAATGTGTACAATACGATTATATTTTGTTGAAATTTATTTTTCGCTTGCACACTCATCTGGTGGAGAGGGGGGGGGGGGTATTAAAACAGTTTACACTTCCGAGCTTTCACCGGAACCGCGTGCGTTGAAACTTGGAGCCCGCTTTGTTGGTCGACTAATACGAATTAAATTATTATTATCATCGTTATTAATATTATTGTTCGCGACACGTAGGTATATCGTATTTATGTACATTATTATTATTAATTTTTTTTTATATTATTATAAACGACTATACGTTTGCGTATAGGAGCAAGGTCGACCGGATTCGATCAACGTGTCATTATAATTTATAAACTGGTACGCGTAACGATTTATTAATTTCAATCGTCGTCGTTATTATTACTATTATTATTTACCTACTATTATTTTCACGCGGACGAGGAAACGCGTCGGCCGACATCAGGAAGTAAAACGAACGACGTTGAGTCTCCCGCGCCGCACGTTTGTTCGCTGTACAAGAAAGCTATATATAGGAAGGTAATTAGGTACTCTATAATGTTGCAGGCGATCGCATTCCATATAACACAATAATTTATAACGTAATGACCGATCATTCGCCAATGTAGATACAAGGTGATTCTTTTATCAAAATAAACTTTACTGTAATAATTCTCCCGGTAAATTTTTTTAAAACATTTTTCATTCTAAATACTCGTACTATCTACATGTCTTTTCAATACTAGTAATACTACAGTTTAAAAAAGATATATATTATTTTTTTATTCTTATTGTTTTTTTTGTTATTTACTTTTTTAATGATAATATACATTTTTGATTCAATATTTTAAAGGAGAAATTTTTTTTGAAGATTTCGGTTTACAGAAATATTGAAATTCTAACAAGTATGCATGGTTGATGATTATAGTTTTACTAGTATTTAAAGCTTATAGATGAGTCCACATGGTAACCTCGTGCTACTCTATTTCACTGATTTACAATTCAAACGCTCATAATGTAAAGTTATTAATTTATAACTAATATATTAATTATTAACTGTACTACTAGTTTGGTATTCAATATGTATGCACACGTTTAAATATAATCAGTAATCACTAATCATAATAATATATACTAATATACCTATATTGACTATTATTGTCATTATTTCTTGCATAGCAGTGCAGTCATAATATTATTAATGTAAATTACTAACATTAAATACACTGACGATATATTTTGTACACATATAACATATATATTGTGATTACTGATTGTGTAAATTTGCATGCACAACAGCTGCAACATTCTGCAGGTTCAATACAGTTATTGCATTATATCTAATATAATAATATAAATCTACATGAAATAGAATAAACGTGTTTTGATTACACCTATTTACTATATATTATATGTACCTGCAAATATGTTTTCCTAGATCTGCGCGTGTTCTGGCATTCTTACACTATAGAGGTGGCTACAGTTTAAAATACGCGTAACGTACATAAACATTATAGCTAGACAAGCACGCGATACGATTAAATTTGCTATTTATTAGTAAAAATGTATAAATCTGTGTGACCTGATGAGTATTATTCCAAACGTAATATTATATCATAGTGAGTGTTAGTGTATATTATACAGCTATGCGGGGTGATTCACCAAACATCTTAACCCTCACGTTTTCCTTAAAATACATTTATAAAATATTATGAAGTTTTTGGTATCTTTTAAGTTAACTTAATAAGTGTATCAACATTTTTAAAAAATAAATTATTTAAATAACAATTTACTGTAAAAATTGGAGCTTTTTTTAATACTTCTTAAATTGTATCAAATAGTAAATATCTAAATACTTGAAAACATGGTTTTAGAACACCATATTAAAGTTTAAAAATCAGAATTTTTTCGTGTTGAGCGTTTTGAACATTTTAAACGATTATTAGCTGATAAGTATTGACGTTGTGTCATTTAAAAACAAAACGCAATAATTTGTAATTATAAATAATTTTTGTAAAATGTTAATTTATAATTATATATCAACCTGAGTGTTACAGACTTATAGTAGAACTTTATAAAGTTTCACAGTGTTCACGCAGTATATTATATAACTAAAAAATTACAAAATTCACCTAGAAAAATTCAATGATGTATTGACTCGCGGCGATATTATTTTCATCCTTTTGTTTTTGTACCAATAATATATTAATATTATGTATTATTTTCATATTATTATCATAAAAATTATAATAGACAATTTTGCATAAATGTAGATGGATGATCTATGTTTTTGTTATAAATATCTGTAACATGTAACTACATATTTATATTGTACGAACTCGTTTTCTTTAATACTTGTTAAAAAGTATTAATTTCTCTTTTTTAATTTCAAATTCATATTTATGTAATTTTGATGTTAATTATATCAATGTATCAGATTTTAACTGATAATTATTAATTAGTATATGTATATAATGTATGTGCATACATTATGTTTATGTATATGTATATATATTATGTAGTATATTTTTATAAACAACTAATATCATATGTATTTTATATCTTATCACTAAATGATTAAATATTGATGTATTTCTAGTTAATATTTTAATCATGTTGTCGTATTTCACTTTTGATAGTTAATAGTCTATATATACGTTAGTGTAGTTATCATCAATATATAATCATTAGTATCAGGCATCCGATTACATTTAAAATTAATAACATCGATAATAATCAATTAATTCTTAAAAAAAAAAAAGTGATTGTGATAAAAATATTGCTAAATACTATATTTTATGTATTTATACTATGACTTTTATCTATTTTTTAAATCAATTTTCGATTTGAATTGGTCCTTGAACAACTTGAGATAAAACCGAAGAATTCGAGAATGTATTTTTAAATAAGATACATTTATCACCTAAACATTGAAATGAAAAGATTTTAGTTCAGAAGACTCAAATGGAGGCACGGTTTTGCCAATTGGTCACGATTATTATCCATTAATATTATACGGTGGATATGAACAACGAAACGTAAACCTGCAATGGTATAAATGCGTTTTTTCAAGGAGTTTTATTTAAATTAGATTTAAAAAAGATTGATATTAATAGAATACATTGTCAATAATAAGAACAAAATATTTAATTCACGTTAGCATCAAAATTATATAAAATGTAATTCTTATGTTTTCCTAAAATCCTGTTTAAAAATTTACAGATCGATTTACATTTATCGATTTCAATTAGTTATACTATATATTTCAAGACATTGTTCTGGCATCATCAATATTTTCTCTAATTTATCATAAATCATAAATTTAATATAGTAGGTATGTAACTGAAACTTTTTAAGAATATTTTATTTATAGACTATGGCATTTATACGATTCGATTGTATACAAAATAAAAGACAATTGATAATTACCGATAAGCATAATAAGCATCAAGTATAGTTTTAATTTTAATAAAAAAATAAAATATGATCAAGTCAATATATCTTAATTATTTACATAAATGAGTATAGGTAGGTATTGTACAAAATATATCTTCAATGTTTAAATGTATGAAGGTTATCAGTATTTGCGTACGTACAATACATATTAACTTGCAGCAGCCATGATATTTTCATACATAGATAATGATAAATAATATATAATAAACATATACACGTCGAACGCGTAAAACCCCAAAGTAAAAGTGTGAAAACCCAAAAATTATTATTTACGAACGACGTATACATGAACATTGAATGAAAAATGAATAGCGTGATTTGTTTCATTGTACGAGATACTTCAAATATTTTCATGGCAGATCCAATGAGAATAAAAGATTATAAGTTCACATAATTAACTATAAAATCTTATGTATAGATGATTTGTTTTTTTTTTTTAATTAACCCCGAATTTAAACTAGCTTAACTGGCTACTTAAAAAAATAAATATTATTTTAGATCATCATAAAAATATTTAAAGGCGTGTTAAATAACGTATTAAACGCGTAAAATGTTTATTGGCATGTTTTAAAAACATTTTTTTTTTACAACTTTTACTCAAAAACAATATTGCCAATTTTTTTTAAATTCCCGTACATGTTTTATATTTTCAATAATTATATAAATATATAATGTAAAAAACAAAATTAGTACTACACAGTGTACACTGCAGTTATATGGAAAATTGTTGGAATCTTTATTTACTACCAGAAATGTTATTTTCAAAAAAATAAATTACATCATTATTGCATAACACTAATTTGTACATATAATATATACATGTTTAGGTGGTTTCGAGCTGGCTCAAGATCTAAAAATTTCATAAAAATGGCCGGTCGTCCACAGTCCTGTATTATTATTTTTATTTTTAACGCAATAATAATAACGTCCCAATAGTCATAAAACTTTTAAGTATAAGAATAGGGAATATAAAGCATTCTATTAATGCATTTGAAAAATTATGAGTTGTGGAATCGTAATTTGTAGACTATATAGAATGTATATGTATTTAAGATTTTGTGACTTAAAAATTACTACTTAAGAATTTCGTAATATATTGAATTTAGTAAATATTTATGAATCTGTAGATTAAGAGTTACGTAGTATGGTGAAATTTCAAGTATTATAATAATGCAAAATATTATGCAAATTATATTAAGAGAAACACACCAAAATAAATTACCAAAATCGTAAAAAATTAATGTGATAAAATTTAATCCAAAAAAAATTTACTAACGCGAAATTTCATAATATATAAAATTGTTAACGTTCATGAAAAAAATGACATAACTATTAATGGGGATTATCTTACTGCATTATAACATTTTATACAGACATCACAAGTATGATGTATTATAATGTATAGAAGAATATTATTA